ATAGATAGATAGATAGACAGACAGACAGACAGACAGATAGATGGACGGACGGACGGACAGACAGACACTGGAAGACAACCGTGCTGAAAGACTGTAATTGTAATTTTCCCTCATGCAGTCAGGCAACAAAATCGATGACAATAATTAGATGTGTGTGTCTGTATTAATTGTGTCATTCTGTGTGCATGCTGTACTGTCTCAGCAGGTGTCTGTAATCCCAGTTCAAAAACTTTCAGATACAGTGAAAGCATCTTTGGGTTTATGTTGTTGCTGTGCAGATAATGCATTTTCCTTTGGCCTGATCTATTTGTATCCTAAACAGGCATGGACACCTCCAGTGGTGCCCGGGTGGTGAAGCCTTCCTCGGGCTTGTCAAAGAGGCGCACTGCCAAACAGGCCCACCCCGCAGAGATGCCCCGAATGGGCAGCACTGAAAACGACAATCACAGTAAGAACGCAAGCTGCTTGCTTGGGTTTAAAAATACAATAAAGATTTTCAACTAACACACACAGGGCATGTAAAATGTTAACAAATCATTGGTTTATGCAGGTGGCATTTACCAAAAATTGTTGTTTACACGGTAGGCATATTAAAAAGGAATAACCAACTTTGTAGAATCGTTGACTTCATTTCAGATTTTTGTTTGCACAGTCTGTGGAGTACATTTGCACGTTAAAAGAGCTGAGTTACAACTGCACACTTGCTTCAACCTGTTTGACATCTCTGAGGTTTTGACAAGCGATTTCACACTTGTGTGCTTAAGAGAGGAAATGATGGCTGCCTTATTATGGTGAAAGCAAGGTGTTTTGACAGATGGGAGTAAGGTTGTTTTTAATGTCAGTGAAATACATACCATCTCCCTGCATGGCTGAACTTTAGTCCTGTACACATGTTCAGTGCTGGAGTAAAACTGAATATTGTGTCATTTCCTCTGCATTCCTAAGCAAAGTATTGAACAAAACCGTTTAAATGGACAAGTGGAATGGAAAGAAGTGGTTAAAAGGAGATATTATGCAGTATAGCACTGATAACAGCTGCTATAATCTCATTGTCATTGATAAGATAGACATTACTCTGGGTCAGTGTTAGTAGGGCTGCAATGAACAGTGACTAAATCAACAATTATTTGAATGATTATTAAAAATGCAAAATGCATCCATTGCATCCAAAATGTCTCTTGATTGACTCTTCAGCTCAGCTGTAGAGTTAAAAAAGTGTTTTTTTTTTTAACTGCTAGATGTTCAATGGTAGTACTGGCAGTACATGTTTTATTAATTATTTCTGAAATAAATAAATAAAATATGCATTAAACAAAAATATACAATTAAGTTAATTGCAACCAAACCTAAGTTTAGGAAGCTAAAGTTCCACTACATGTTTTATTATCCGAGTTTCTGTCCACATATTTTTATGTAAATTTCATTCTGAAATGCCAGAATTTCTATTTTGCGCCAGTTTCCATGGAAGATATGATTTTGTTCTCTTGATGCAAACTGTTTTTCCTGCTTTTTGTGTTTTTTTTTTGTTTTTGCAGTATTCCAATCTTTAAAATTTTAAGCTTTAATGTACATATAGCGTACATTTTTTTGACCCCATCATTTTTAATCAAATTGTCCAACACTGTCTCAAAATCCAATCAACAACCGATGCACACAACCAAGTCCCTGTCCTACATTTTTCTATAACATTCAGATCAGATGTAGCCTACATCACAATATTGAAGAAAAAGTCTGTCAATACTTGTGTTTCATTGAGACAGTACTTTGGACTCTCTATTGCCATTTTTAAACAAAAAAATTTGGGTAACACTTCAGTATAGATTCTCACTATTAACTACTTGCTTATTAGCATGCCTATTATTAACATATTGGCTGTTTATTAGTACTTATAAAGCACATATTCTGCACGATCACATTCTACATCTCTAATACTACCCAATACCTCATCTTAACAACTACCATAGTAACTACTAATAAGCAGCAAATTAGGAGTGTATTGAGGTAAATGTCATAAATGGTTTGTTAATAGCAAGAATTGGACCTTAAAATAAAGTGTGACCAAAAATTGCAAGTTACTAGCAGTGTTTTTATCGTTAATGTTGCCAACATCAATATTACTTTGTGTACTTAGCCATAATTTGTGTTGCTTATTAGCATGCCTATTATTAACATATTGGCTGTTTATTAGTACTTATAAAGCACATATTCTGCACGATCACATTCTACATCTCTAATACTACCCAATACCTCAACTTAACAACTACCATAGTAACTACTAATAAGCAGCAAATTAGGAGTTTATTGAGGTAAATGTCATAAATGGTTTGTTAATAGCAAGAATTGGACCTTAAAATAAAGTGTGACCAAAAATTGCAAGTTACTAGCAGTGTTTTTATCGTTAATGTTGCCAACATCAATATTACTTTGTGTACTTAGCCATAATTTGTGTGTAGTAAAGTTATCTTTCAATTTCACATAATACATCGCATGTAAGAATTTATGTAAGAACATTGCATGACATGACCATACAAAGACGAAATCCGATCTGACAGCTCAAATTCTAAATCGTTATTATAAGCTTTCCATTGTGAATCGGGGTAAGGCAAGGACACAGTTATGAATTCAGATTTTTTTATGTACTCAGTAATTGTTTCTTGTTAATTTTTAACTGTTCAGCTGTTCATTAAAAAAAAAAACCTTCCATAGTGCACCTTTAAGTAAATTAAAATGTGATGATTTTCTCATTATGCAATGCAAGTATCATAGCAAAGTATGCAAATACATTGACAGGACACAATATCATTATGTTGCATTAAGCCACGCATACAATGCAACATTATAGGCTCTAACATGCTCTTAAGAGTGTGTCTGGAGCTGTGTCTGCAGTGTTTTAATGTTGACGCTAAGTGTTACACCCCAGTTCTAGAGCGAGAGATATTCTGACATGAAGCAACTATAACTCACATCCAGACCACCAATCTGATGCACAATTAGGGAAATGTCGTAATTGAGTATGTGTATGTATTGCTGTTTAACGAGCTCTTGTGAGAAAACGAGCAATGTTTCAGCGTTCTGGTCCATTCACTCCACTACCATCGCTCGTTTCTGTTTTTTGGCAATTAAGTGCTTTGAAAGGGAATAAGAGGAAGTTCCATATTCATGATTTTTTGTTGTCAGTATTAGGCCTGCATGGGCATTATTAGTCGCAAATTGAGGATCTCTCTGGTACCCATAATTTGATGGGCTTTAATGATAATGGATTTTTTTGCTAAATGGAGAGGCTTATGGTACTACAATTATGTGATTCAGCTGTTTAATTTGGTAAATGTAAAATGTGCCAACTGTTGCACAGTTTTGGTAAGTAAGCTAAATTTGAACGAGAGCTTGTGCAGCTACTGCTTTGAACTTAAAAAATCCCATAATTCTTTGCTCAGAGTGAAGCGAAAGCAGCCTGGCAAAGATCTGGTGGAAAACAAACTTGGCGCTGATTCACAAATGAGCTGGGAGAATGATATTTGTGCCGGGCCATGCTGTTTGAATTTTTCTGCGGATTGTGAAGAGCATTTTATTGCTTTCACAGCGTCAGGCCAGGCTGTCTCTGCTGGAGAATATTTATCGCTGAGTTTGCAGCCCCCTATATGCTGAGCACCTCTCCTCGACTCAGACTACATGTTCAAAAGCAGGTTCCTAATGCATTAATTTAACACTCGCCGGAATGGATGTCGGCTTTGTAGAACAACAACCTGCCATTAGTATTTCCACCGAGCGCTGAATGCCGTCTATACAATAATAAGTGACACAGGGAATTGATGAAGTGGCTTAGGGGGTTAATTGATTAATTGACACACATTATATTCTTATCAGGGTTTTTATTGATGGCTCTTTCAAGGGAAGACTATTAAGAGTGTGTTTTTCCTTGCATTGAGAATGATTTACATTATGGAAAAAGGAGATTTTCAGTTTATTTACATATTCTTTTTGGCTTCCTATTTGTGGCCTGTGGTTGTGGCTACTGCTTTTAACTTGTAAACAATGTGTCTGGAAGGAATTCAGACATAAACAATAGCATTTCCTAGCTGTGGTTTTGATGTCACAATGCCACTGATTAGTCAGTCGAACCCGAAGCATTCAGTCCAGCCTCCCTGGGATGTGGGTTAAAGGGATAGTTCACCCAAAAATGAAACTTTGATGTTTATCTGCTTACCCCCAGGGCATCCAAGATGTAGGTGACTTTGTTTCTTCTGTAGAACACAAACGGAGATTTTTAACTCCAGCCGTTGCAGTCTATCAGTCGTATAATGCATGGCAATGGTAACAAAATCTGCACAAGACTGTCTACATTATAAAATATATCTGGTCTATCACAATCTAAAATAGAATCCATATCCTCCAGCTTTATATGTGCATTTATGTGCATTCTGTACTGGGATACTGATTCACGGCATCCTCTCACCTCATCAGTTGACTCACTCCTGTATCCACAGCGCCTCTCCATGACAACAAGGTTGCATCATCCCTGGACCAGTGCGGAGCTAATTTGCTAGCCGGCAGCTATCTATACCATTCAGAGTGAGAGCTTTCTTGTGATATATGACTTGACTTTTTTGTGAAAAATATATAAAATACACATTCTTCGTAAAAATTATTCGCAATGGTTAGGCGGAAATTCGTGTGTGGGACGAATACATTTCTAAGCTTAATTTTACTGCTTTATGAATATAAAAACCAAAAGGAATGGTATTCTTTGTAAAGAAGACACTCCAAGCTTTCAAATGAACCCATATATGGGCTGATACCATATAAGGAAGGCTATGTAAATGAAGCATAAAAATTTTTAACCCGTATCCGGGTCCGCAGAGTTTAACTGGTTTTAATGTAAACTACACCAGAGCGCGTACACATCTCACGCACCGGATGCCGTGCACGCGCTCAAAGCAGTTGGATATAGTGGTGTATTAGAGGTAAAATATGAGATAAATACTGTTCGGTTTCTCGCACAAACCGATCGTTTCGTGTCTTAGGACATCAATGTGTCGTCACGAGCCACAGGGTTTAATTTGGATTTGTCTGTGCATGTTTTTTTTACTCTCATAGATTTTGTTACCATTGCCATGCATTATACGACTGATAGACTGCAACGGCTGGAGTTAAAAATCTCAGTTTGTGTTCTACTGAAGAAACAAAGTCACCTACATCTTGGATGCCCTGGGGGTAAGCAGATAAACATCAAATTTTCATTTTTGGGTGAACTATCCCTTTAACCCAAAGTATCGCTTGTGTGTGAAAGTGTGTACGTGTTTGCGAGACAGTGCATGGCTTCTTCTGCCAAGGGTGCGAGACACTTGTCTGGTCTCAGGCTGTTAGATGTCAGCAGCTGCATAGCACAGTTGCAGCTGTTTAGTTTCTTATGTCTGGAATGGCTTTATCTTACTTTCAAGGGGCTGTGTT